GGGGCATGTGAATCTGTGCCATTTTGTAAGCAGATAAGTTAGGGGAATCTCTGGAGAAAGAGAACAATTAATGGCTTTCTTGTTGTAAGAGAAGTCATTTTGGCCTAAGACATTTTGTGACCTACGCCTGGAGCTATGCTTACCCTTGAACAGGTCTCAGTAACTAACGATCTTAAGGAACAAAGGAATGCACTAACAGAGAAAAGGCAAACAGTAGTACAATGAAAGAGCATAGTCCTAGTTCCTCCTCAAGGGATATACATAATAATAAGTCCTGTGTGGAGCTAATACCTCCACAGAGGTGGAATGCTGTTGCTGACCGTTTTGACTTCAATCAACTAAAGTTTGGACTCTGTCAGTCTTTGCCCCAATTCTATGCTAAGTTCTCTCCTCAAGCCCCTTCCTGAATATATGTGTACTTTTAGCTTAAAAGTTATGTCGTTCAGTCGTGTCTGACTCTTTGCAACCCCATGGACTGTATTCTACCAGGATCCTCTGTCTATGGGATTTTCCAGGCAAGAGTACTGGAGTGGGTTGCCATTTCCTTCTCCAGGGGATCCTCCTGACCCAGGAATTGAACCCGGGTTTCCCGCATTGCAGGTGGACGCTTTACCATCTGAGCCACCAGGGAAGTCCAAAAGTCCCCCAACTTTGCTTTTCAGGGAGATGCTGCTTTGGGAAAAACCCCCGGGGCTCTCCTTACTTACTGCTAGTGATAATCAATTCTTCCTTCTCCTGATCATTGGCTTTGCTGTCTATTGGTGTGATACCAAGAGGCAAACCCAGTTTTAGGGTAACAATATGAAGACTATCTGAAATAAAACAGGAGGGAAGGGGACAGGGAACAACCTTTAAAAGAATGATATAGACATCGGCCCTGACAAAAACTGATTAGAACCCACAAGGTCCAAGATGGAAAATTCGCCTTCCAGTGAACCTTGAGCCCCGTTATAGACAGATAGACAGTGCCCAGTCACTCAGTCATCTCCGACTCTTTGTGGCCTCATGGACTGTAGTTCCCCAGGCTCCTCTGTTCATGGAATTTCCCAGGCAAGAATTCTGGAGTGGGGCGCCATTTCCTACTCCAGGGGATCTTCCTGACCCAGGGATGGAACTTGCATCTCTTGTGTCTCCTCATTGGCAGGCAGATTCTTCACTGCTAGCACCACTTGGGAAAGATTGAAGGCAGGAGAAGGGGTTGACAGAGGATGAGATGGTTGGATTGAAGGAGGAAACAGAACAGGTTCTATCTAGAAAGCAGGACTCCATCTTGGGCTGGACTGTGGACTATGAGCTTTATGCCCAATATTGATGGAAACGACATACCAACTGGAAAACCAGGCCCCCGGAAGAAAGAGCCCCAAGGCTCTCCATCGCCTAAAAGAATACCCTAATTATCTGTGTAACTGAATAGAATCATACATTCTATTATGCTTATTGGGGTATGACCACAGGCCTATTGATAACTGTCCACTGTTAACTACCTAGGCTTAAGGCATATGAATCACGGGTTAACTTTGATTGTATCTTTTTTTTTCTTCTCCTTTGTTCAGACTAGTTTCAGGGAATTTGGGGAGGTGGGTTTGGGCATGTACGCTTAGGGTATATAAAGTTTTCATAAAAACTGGTCGGGCTTCTTGGCTAAGAGGAGACTCTTCCTTGGGCCTGCTGGTATAATAAACTGCACTCCACTATCTGCATTGTCCTTCTGAGTGAGTTTGTTTCCCAGAACGTGTGGCTACAACAGGATGGCATCACCGACTCGATGGACGTGAGTTTGAGCAAGCTCTGGGAGTTGGTGATGGACAGGGAAGCCTGGGGTGCTGCAGTCCTTGGGGTCCAAAAAAAGTCGGACATGACTGAGCGACTGAATTGACTGAGCACCACCTGGGAAGCCCTTGAGCCCCATGATACACTCTTTGTAATATGAAATGAAGTCCCTCGGTTGTGTACAACTCTTTGCGACCCTACAGACTGTAGCCTGCCAGGCTCCTCCATCCATGGGGTTTTCCAGGCGAGAATACTGGAGTGGGTTGCCATTTCCTTCTCCAGGGGAATCTTACCAACCCAGGGATTGAACCCTGATCTCCCGCATTGCGGGCAGACTGTTTACCGCCAGAGCCACCAGGGAAGCCTTTGTAATATATTAGCATTTAAATGACACACCCACCGTGACAGTTCTGAGACTAACCATCAAAGGCCAAAAAAGAGGGCAGCGGCCTAATTTCTGGAAATCCCTGCCCCTTCCCTGAAATAGTTGAAATAATCCTCCCAGTCATTAGCCTATGAAATTACCCAGCCCATAAAAACTGCTGCTAAGTCATGTCAGTCGTGTCTGACTCTGTGCGACCCCATAGATGGCAGCCCACCAGGCTCCCGTCCCTGGGATTCTCCAGGCAAGAATACTGGAATGGGTTGCCATTTCCTTCTCCAGTGCGTGAAAGTGAAGTCGCTCAGTCATGTCCAACTCTTAGCGACCCCATGGACTGTAGCTTACCAGGCTCCTCTGTCCGTGGGATTTTCCAGGCAAGAGTACTGGAGTGGGGTGTCATTGCCTTCTCCGTAAAAACTAACCACACTTTATTTCAGGGCCTCTTCTGAGATGCCCATACACTGTGGAGTATGTTTCTCCCTAAATAGATCCACTACCTATCACTTTGTCTGTCACTGAATTCCTTTCTGTGAAGGGTGAGAAAGTGACCTAAATGACCTTTAAGACATCCCTTCTACCTAAAGACTGATTAGTCTCAGAGTTCCTTTAAATCCCTGCCTGAGGGACTTCTCTGCCCAGTGGCTAGGAATCTGTTTGCCAATGCAGGGATCCAGGTTCAATCCCTGGTGACGGAGGATTCCACATGCCGCAGAGCAACGAAGCTGGTGAGCTACAACTACGGAACCCACGCTCTAGAGCGCTCACGCTGCAGAAACTGAAGCTTGTGTGCCTAGAGCCTGTGCTCCACGACGGGAGAGGCTGCTGCAATGAGAAGCCCATGGGCTGCAACTAGCGAGGAGCCCCACTTTGCAACTACAGGAAGCCTGTGTGCCGCAACAAGGACCCAGCACAGCCAAAAATAAGTGAATAAAGCACTGTTAGGGCTTCCCCGGTGGCTCTTGGTAAAGAATCTGCCTGCAAATACAGGAGACACAGCTTCGATCCCTCGGTCAGGACGATCCCCTGGAAAAGGAAATGGTAACCCACTCCAGTATTCTTGCTTGGGAAATCCCATGGACAGAGGAGCCTGATGGGCTATATATAGTCCATGGGGTCACAAAAGAGCTGGACACAACTCAGGGGTTAAACAACAACAAAACAGTGTGTACATGTAAATAGATAAAATCCCTGCTTAAGTTCGCCCATCTTAAAATTTTCTCTGACAATCACAGTCCAGAGTGCCTGGTCCCTTCTCTAAGCTCTTCTCTCTTCTCTTTACTGTCATATTTAACTTTATGTGTATGTCTCTCCAAGACCTTAAATTCCCTTGAGGCTAAAGACCAGAGCTTTGCAAGTGTTTCTCTTTTGTTTTTTTGTTTTTTTAGTTCTACCAGTTCATTGCTACCAACCCATCTCCTTCCACCCTCGTGCACACATGCTCAGTCATGGAATCCCATGGACTTCAGCCCGCCAGACTCCTATTCTTTTCCAGGCAAGAATACTGGAGTGGGTTGCCATTTCCTTCTCCAAGGTGTTTCTCTTTTGAAACTTTACGAAGTTTCTTTTTGGGATACATATTGTCCTGTTTCCTGTATTGTATTGGAAGTAAACTGTAAGTCATTTGAAGTCACAGATTATGGTTTATATTTATTTGTATTACCTCACAGCACCCAATAGGTGCTTGATAAACATTGATTTAAGTTGGGTGAAATGTGAAGAGGACTTTTGGCCCAAAGGAATGAGGACAAAGATGAAAGAGCAAAAGGTTAAAGAATACCACTGGTTTGGATAAAAGTATGGACTTCTTACTTGCAGTGAGAAGTCCAGGAAGTTTTCCCCCAGGGAACCTGGATATACTAAGAAAAAACCCTTTTTTTTCCTGCAGAGGGCGTGGGTTTAATCCCTGATCTGGAAGTAAGATCCGGAACGCAGCCTTGCGCAGCCAAAAAGTTAAAAAAAAAAAAAAGTATTACAATCATAATGTAAAATGATTGTAAAATATTAGAAACTAGAAATAATAAAGGTGTTGCGAATGGGTTTCAAATAAAAACGATGTAACAATATAAATATTAAGAGTATCAACAATGCCTATAGAAAGAGGGTTTAGCAGGCACGCAATTATGCGCAGTGAGAAGATAAGCAATACGGAAATGCGGACCTCTGCTGACTGAACATGTGTAAAGGACATACCCACAGTCACTCAGTGATGTTTATAGAGCGTCTGTAGGTCAGTGTGTATTATCTGGGTGTGTGTGGTGATTCGATTCTGCCCTTCCCACTGAATTGAGCGCTTCATTCCCACCTCTTTTCCCTTTCCTCCTCTAGCGCAGCCTTGAATCCTGTGAATGGAGTGGACAGAGGAACACACGTTGAGGGTCTTCTCTCCCGACCCTCACATATTAATACACGTGGTTTTCACTTGACAAAGGACTGGAGCCAGGTTTCTGCGGCTGCAATTTACATTCCGAATAAACAAACCATTACACACGAACAAAGCCAGGCACAGAACAACCACCTTCCCGACCACCTCCGTTAAGGTGTTCCTCTAATCCTCCGGCTCCAGTTCAGAACCTAACCAGTCACAAAGTCCCTACTTCAGGAACGCCGCCCAATCACAGAGTCCTCACCTGCAGAAGGTGAGGCCTGGGTCTCCGCGCGCGACAGTCTCCGGGCCCAATCAGGGGCGGATCGGGCTTGGAACGGCTCCAGTCCGCCTTACGGGGAGTGGTGGGCGGGACTGCACCTGGCGCCGGTGAGTCACTCAGAGGAGCGGCGGCTCCCTGCACCAATCGGAAAGTGCAGAGGCGCGGCGCCGACCAATCGGGCGTGAAGGGAAGGGCCGGGCAGCGCTCAACCTGGCGTCCGGAGTTTAGTCCCCGCGCTGCCGTGGGCGAAGCTGGGTCTGTTTCTAGGGTCGCAGTGACTGCTGTCGCATCGGGATCTTGATCGTGATGGGTACAAAGGTGAAAGTCGGCGGCACAGAGTTGCTTCTCTTCACGTCGATGATCCTGTGTAAGTTCCCGGAGTTTTCGGAGGAATCCGTGCGTCTGAACAGAGGTCGGAGGAGGCGCTCCCCACACCTCTGGCTCGCGAGAGGGGAGGGGTTCTGAAACCACCCCGCCTCACCCTCCTAGCCCTCTTTTCCACCCTAGACTCGTCCCTCTTTTTTTCCCTCCCCCTTTCCCCTGGTGAGTGGCTGGCTCCCCTCCCCCACACTTATGAATAAGGATCCCCTCTTACATCCACCCGGAGGGAGCTGCCTCTTCCGCACTTTTACCAAAAATAACGGGGGAAGGTTGGTGCCCCTTTCCTCCATTCTCACTGCTGAGTGCTGGTGGGCTCGGGGGCGCTGCCCAGGCGGGATCACGCATCTGGGAAGGGCCATCCTGCCCCTCCAACATCCGCCAACCATCCGAGATTAGTCGGGAGCCTCCCGTCCCATGCCTCTCTTGGGATGTTTTACTCCTGAAGGGTCCTCAGAGAAAATCTAATGGAGGTCGACTGGAGTGGAAGTCCCTTTCCCTGGTTGTTGCTGAAGGGTCTTTTTAGCTTTCCCCGAATCTTTGGGTTGCATGGTTGCTCCGGGAAAAGTGTCCAATTGCAACCCCCCCTCCTTTTTTAAAGGAAATGCATAAAATTGAAATCTAAAATTTCTTAGCACAGCATTCAAGGTTCCTTTCTAGCATAACTTACTTTAGGAGTCCTTAATAAATGTTGTTGACGGAGAGACCATTCCCAGGGGAAGGTCATGTTTTTTGGTTGGCTGGTTTCTTCTGTGAGCCAGAACTCTGCCCTCCCCCTTTGGCCATGTTTGAGAGTTTTTGTTTCCTTTGTCAACTCCCTTTCCTGTGGAACAGTGAGGCTCACTTGCTGGGGCAGGCCTCTGTCTACAGTTGTGCGTGTGCCTGACTGAGTTTATGGTTTGTGCCTCAGTCTACCTGCGTCAGCATCTGTACACTTATCTGATTCTTGAGTGTCTGTGTGTGCTACTGTGAATAGTTGTGTCGGCAGGGGGTCCGTAAGAATCTCCATTTCCCCCTCAAGATCGCTGTTGTTGGAAATGTAGTAGAGATGAACAATTAAGACCAGTATTGGTGGTTACAAGATAATTCACTTTGCTTAGTGTGAAGGGTGCCCTTAGACAGATGGATTGGCTACTCCTTTGTTTCTTATCACAGAATCATTAACCCTTGGGATACCCTGGACCAGCAACAAGTCAGATCCTCCCTCCCCCTATTGTACAGATCAGGAAACAGGTACAAAGAGGGGAAATGACTTGATAAGACTGAAAGGACCTGGGACTGGAACAAAAGTCTCCTGACTCACTTTTCCTTTTTCTACTCTTGGGCCCATCTCAGGCACCCTATGACACAGGAACCAGCATGTCAAAATATCAGTTTGGGATACTGCTCTGGAGTCCACTATCTCACCTACCTTTTTCAGTTTTTCTTTCTTACTAGATTCTTTCTTTTCCTCACTTTTCCCTTTCATTCTACTCCTCCATTTGCCCCCTTTCTTCAATTTCCATTCTTTCCTTCCCATTCTTCTCCATTTACTTCTGTCTGTATCTTAGAAATGCTAGTGACACCCATAGTCATTTCCTTGTTGTGTGTGGTGCTCAGTACTAAACACTTTGCCAACCCCATCAACCCTCGTACTCATCTCCCTGCCTCCCAACCTAGAAATTTCTGAGTCAATAACTGTGTTTGTGACAGTATTTGTCAGGCTTATAAGACTCCTAGAACTGCATCCTTCTCCCTTTTCCTCTTTCCCCCTTATTTTCTGTAATAACTTCACAATGTATTACCACAGATTGACACTGAAAGCATTGTGATATCACCCTTCTGGGCTTGGGAATGTCCTCTATTCTGTTCAGGGAATCAATAAACAGTGGTTTAGAGGGAACTTGAGATGATATTGTATTAGCTTGACAGGACAGTGGATCCTGGGAAGTAACATGTCCTGGAGATGGAGGAACTGACCTTGTCACATGTAAATAGGGCTAGACCTGGGAGATGCTATTTGGTTAGCACAGTGAGAATGGGAATAACAACCAGGCCACCCCCCACCTGGGTTCTAGCTTGACTTTCTGGCTTATTTGTGATCATAGTCTAGTAACTCAGTCTTTTCATCTGTAATACAAGAGTATTACAGGAGTAATAATACTTGTCCTAACCTCATCCTGAGGATCAGCTGGGATAATAGCTACATGACATACATGAAAGCGATTATTAGTGGGCAGCTCTTACCCTCCTTTGGATTTTGTGAGGGTGAAAGAATGTTGCTCGCAGTAGAGCAGGTCAGAGAAAGCAGGCAGAGACCCTGCCAGATTCCAAATGGCTCGAGTGAAAAAGTAGGGGCTTTCTTGCCTGTCCGGTCTGTCCTCTGCTCTTGGGATGTGGGAAGCTTGTATAGGATGCCTGCATGTCCTTGCTCCTCACGTGAACTCCCCCATCAGGGAGGACGAAGAAAAGATCAAGTAGTGGCCCAACCCCTGTCTGGGGAATCTAGTGGAGAAGAAGGCCTGAACCTGCTGGGACAGGGTTGGAGACTAAACACTGGGAGAACTGGGCCAAAAGAAAAACTGGTGACCAAGAATACTAGCCTCCCTCCCCCTAGAGAGCCCATGTTTAAAAAAGTTTCCAGCTATCTCCTAGGCAGGAAGAGGCATTTCTGTTTAGCAAGATGTGTGTATATAGGATGACTTTTGATGTGACCACAGGGGAAGTGGATACCTGGTTGGAACCCTGGTGTTTGCGCACACACCCCTTCATTAAGTGTTTGTATTGAGGCATTCCAGGAGGGAGAAACTGCTGCCCTGTGTCTGTCTGGGTCAACCTGTGAGTCTGGCTGTTTCATATCGATATTTTGGACTCCAGCCTTTCTAGCTTTCGTATTCAGGGTTAGACTCACCTCAAACTGTGGATTGGTGAGTCACTCTTTCCCCTCCCTCTGCAGGGGGTTATCCGTGAAAGAATTGTTCCCTCGAAACCAGAACCTAGAGACTAGTGACGCAACAAGGTGAAACAAGGAAGTGAGTGGCAGTGGAATTCCAGTGTCGTCTTAGTTTTTCTCTCCTTACTCCAGAACACTTTCGCTTTATGACAGTTCTCTTCAGTTTCTTGTGCTCTGGGCTTGCCTGGCGTCTCCAGCCTAGTTTTAGCTTGGGTTGGAGCTACTGTAATTTAAAAAAACAAACAACAATGTTTGTCTGTTTAGAAGAGGTTAATATATTAATGTGGTTTGAGAATTAAAATAATGTTAAACGAGTGGGGTTATCACTCCCACCTGGTTCCTGTTCTTTCCACACCTCCCCTAGTTTCCTGTGTATTTTTCCAGTGGTTTGTTATGCAGATATCAGTATATATAAATATATATTGCTTTCTTTTCCCTTTCCTTACACAAAAGGAGGCACCCTCTATACATTCTATTCCATCCTGTATCTTGTTTATTTCATTTGATATGCCCTGGAGTTCTTTTCATATTGTTGGTGTGGCCTTGGCCGTTAGAATATTCTACCCTCTCCCCACCTCCTCCCCAGGCCCTTTGGGTTAAGGGGCATCTATTCTGTGGATTCAGAAGTGGCTGACACTCCTGCTCAAGGACAGATTTAAAAGCTACGTACATTTTATGTGAGAGATTAGAAAAAAATTGGGCTTGTTTTTCACTTCTGTTAGCATTGAGGGGAGACTTTGGGGATCTCTAAACTCAGCCCAGCTTCCTCTCTAGAGGTTCAGGAAAGGGCTGAATGGCCACTTGTCAAATGTAACTGTGGAAGAAGTTTCATTGTCGTCAGAGGGTTGTGAGGATTAGAGTGAGTGGATACACACTGGGGTTTTCCAGGCACTGAAAACTCAGGGTTCATCTGCCTGGGACTCCCTGATAAGCAGGGTTTCTGTCTAAAGTCCGCCTGGTGTCGTGTGTTTTACAGTGTGGGGCTCAGATGGGAGGAAGCAGCTGGCTGGCCAGAAGTCTGATACCAGGCCCCTGGAGTGAGCCCTGGGTAGACAGGCACAGCCTGCTCTGTGGGGGAGGAGAGCCCAGCTGGTAGAACTGGAAATTCTGCTGAGAGGGGGCTGGAGGGAGCCGTGGAGTGAAAGCTCTCCTGTCCTGCAGAACCGTCATCACCACTTTCTGCTGCACTCAGAGGGCTGTGTCAGTTGACCCACGTCATTGACTGTTTAGACTTAGCCCAGCCAGTCTTTGGCTCACACAGCCTTCCTCTTGCCCACACATTCCTTATCTGTCCCACCTCAACCCCCAGGAGTGAGTTCAGTCTCTACAGGGTGAGTGGTGGGAAGGACAGAGCCAACCAGGGGTGGAAGCCCTGGGTCCAGGCTCTAATTGCACTGTAATGTCAAATTCAATTGTTAATCCAACAAGCATTGGTGTTTACTATGTTCTGAGCACTGTGCTGAGATTAGAGATTAAAAAAATGAATAACCTCTGCTATTAAGAAACTCTGAGGGCAGTCAGGAATTTGTAACCATTAGCCAACAGCTGATGTTAGGTAAACTGTGAGCATACTGTATCTGGGGGCTTTCTGAGGCTTTGGCTTATTCTGAGGCTGGTGGGTTCTGTGAGACTCATCTGCCTAGAGGGGAAGTTTGGATGAATTCTTAGAGAAAACCAGAGACTGGCTGGCTGGCTTCCTGGCTTCCCTCCTTTTCCTTCCTTCCTTTATTTGTTTGTTTTTAAATGGATCAAAACAAACTCATTGCATGAAAACACCTTAAGGAAAATTCTGATGATTAACAGGATTGTATAGTGAAAACAAAGTTAATAAAGCAGTAGAAGGAAGTAGCTTTTCTGTGGGTTTGACCTGGGTTTACAGGGACGGGTTGGTGGGTTCTGTCAGACATCTGATGCCTCCGCCCTCTGTGACCACCTTCTTATTAAGCAGCACTGCTTTGGTGACAAAGCACAGCTCTAAGAACAGGGGAGGATACAAGTGTATCTTGTTTTCTCTGTTTCTAAGGAGTTATAGACATGTATTTACTAAGTAGAATACA